TGTGTGTGTGTGTGTGTGTGTGTGTGTGTGTGTGTGTGTGTGTGTGGTATATACCAGGAAAGAGAGTAGATGGTAAGCCACTGGGCTTTTACCTGTATATCTCCTCAAATAGTAAGACTTCTTCACATTGAGTGGAGATCCCAAGAATGTTCTATCTACCCCTTACTTTTGTCATCTTTATAAGTAGTAGTTACTGAGACAAACAGTACAGGTTATAGCGTGATGAGAGCGGACTTCCAGATCTGTAAAAGAGGGTCCCTGGAGGCCTTCTTTCCATAGCCTGTCTTGTTCAGATGGGCACATCAGGGTAGGAAACAGTCATTCCTAGGGGTCACCTCCCAAGAGCAGGCTGACCCTGTACAGTCTCAGTACAGCGCCTGTGTGTTTGGTTATTTGGAGCAGGAAGTGATTTTCTGTCTTATGCAAATGGGTATAGATCTCAGCTCCTGACTTTTAATAAGATTTGCTTTCTTCCTCTATTAAAAAAAAATTTCAGTGTAATGTCTGTGAATGAAAAATAGGCACAGCTTCTTCCATGTCTTCCAAGATCTTCAGTATGATTTATTCAGAAATAATCTTCAACTTCCGTGTCACCATTTTCTACTCAAGGCACTCTCATGACATTATCTCCTGTGGACTCTCTCAAAACATTTCTGCTAAATTTCCCCAATCCATGATCAGTTTCATTTTATCTTTGCTATTCATTATTTCTGATCTATATTCCCATGAATCATCTGTCACATTTCCTCTGATTCCTGGGAATTTGAGAAACTGGTGATGGCAGAGTTTTGTGTTTGTTGGCAGATATTAGAACTGAACAAAAAACAAGTACAAAGAAAACCGTTTCCCTCCACTCCACTTTTATCAGATTCAATGATGTGATGAAGCCAGTTCTACAGTCCTAAGTTATGAGACTTGATTGTTTTTGTTCAGGAATTTGCGAGTTAAACACACCCATCATTTAAAAAAATGATAAGATGATATAGTATAATAGATAAAAATGTAAAATTAATATTTAAAAACAATAACTAATATAACATAAACATAAATATGCTTTTATAATAAAAATAAAAATAATGACTAATGCTCAAAATATGCCAGTTGTTGCTTCATGTTCATTTAAGTTCATGAGGTTGGGTAGATCTATCTATCTGTTAGATATATATGGATGGATACATCCTCGAATGGATGCTAGCCACATCACATGTCTGTACTGTGCAATGGTGATATGTTAAGTTCCCAGATCTATATTCAGTACTGTTAGATTGGTAACTTGATGTTGGCCAATGTGGGTATAGTTATACTATATCTCTTTTATGGCCAGTTTAAAACTTTCCATGGAGTACACATAAGGTGATCCTCAAACCATACTCATTCCCCTAGTCTGTCTTTTGCTTAACTTTTGTCTCTGAAAGCATCTGCAGTGTCAATTGAACTTGGTATAATTTTTCATTTATTTGGTGCTGAGAATATGGCATTAAAGAATGTTGACAGAGTCTGTGCACGCTTGAAATTGGAGGACACCAAGAAGACAAGGCCCTCTAAATCAACATGATCAAAGCACATATGAACTCACAGAGAATGAGGCAGTATGAAAAGGCCCACACTGGCCTGTACTAATCTTCTGAGTATACAGTATGACTTACAGTTTAGTGTTTGTATGATATTCCTAAGTGTACAAATGAGTGGGTCTCTTGTGCCTTCTCACGAGCTCTATTCCTTCTGTTGGTTTGTTCTTTTCAATATGAATGTGATAATCTTTGTTTTTTCTTATTAGAATTTTGTTATATTTTAATATCATCTTTTAGAAGCCTGTTCTTTTCTAATGTTAGACAGAAAGAAAGTGGAACCAAGAGGGAGGAGAAGTGGTGGGAACCTGGGAGAAGTAGAGGAAAGGGAAAACTGTATCAGGATATATTTTCTGAGAAAATAATCTATTTTCAATAAAAGGAAAATTAAATAAAAAAAAGGTAAATAAAAACTGTTTTTGGAACATTAAAAAAGAAAAAGTACTTAAAATAGTTGATATTAGAAGTGCTTTACTATCAATGAATACAGGCACGTGAGTCCTACTATATAATATATTTTGATCATTTTTCTCTCCCTTAACTTCTCCCAGCTCCTTCTCACTTCCTTATTCACTCAACTTCATACTTTTTAAAACTTCTCCCTCTTCCTTTTTCCTTCCCCCTCTCCTTCCCCTGCCTCTCTCAAACTAAAAATTTAAAAGCAAAACAAGAATAGAAAACTAACAAACTAAAAACCACGAAGACACAAAGAATACCAAAACAGACCAAAATGAAACAAATATCAATCCCCTAGCATGTGCACACACACACACACACACACATCACACACCAGAGACCATTTGTGTTAATTAGCTCCTACTGAGCATGGAGTTTTCCTTGGAATAACTTTTTTTTAATTTTATTTTTGAGGTTGGACATTTATTTAGTGGGTTATGAAGGGGGAAAGAAGAAAGGGAGAAGAGCAAAGAAGCAGAGAGAGAAAGAGAGAGAGGGAGAGAGAGAGAAGTGAGAGAGAGAGGAAAGAGAGAGAGGGGGAGGGAGGGAGGGAAGGAGGGAGGGAGGAAGGGAGGGAGGGAGGGAAGAGAGAAAGATGGAAACTGCATCTTGGAGGGATAACACTTAAGGGAAGAAGCAACAGCATGTAATATTGAATCTTTGAAGTGAAGTAGATCAGAACTTCACGTCTTCACCTAGGGCTAGAGGAAAGATTTCATCCTAATGTCTTTTATGGCTCCTATAACATTCCTCACTTGAATAGGAATCTTAAATCATTTAGGAGATAGGCTGAAATTGGGGAATAGATAATAAGCTATTTCTACCAGGAGCATCTAGATATCCATTTCCAAAACTGTTTACCGAAAGTACTGTTGTGTGAGCTAGAGTTTCACTCACATCTTAATGGGTAGCTGCTTCTCCTCTTTCTTCTCCTCCTCCTCTTCTTTCTCTTTCTCTTCTGTTTCTTCTTCTTCCTCCCTTCCTCCTCTTCTTTTCTTCTTCTTCCTCTTCCTGCTGCTCCTACTTTTTTCTTCTATTTTTTATTTTTATTTTTACTGAAAATAAATTTATTTTCATAAAATGAATTTGGATCATGGTATTCCTCTCCCTCATCTCCTCCCATATCTTCCTTGTCTCATTACCCTTCCAACTCCATGCCTTTTTTCTCTCTTAATAAAGCAAACAGGCAAATAAAACAGGCATAAAAGGAGCAAACAAAGCAAACAAAAATAAACTAAGAAGGAACACAGTAATGCAAACATGTGTGTGCACACATGCATGTGTGTCTGTACACGTGCATATATGCTCATAAAAAACTCAAAATGGAAATGATGATATACAAGAAAAAGACCAGTAAGTTTTAAAAAATTTCCCAAGCAAAGCAATATGGCAAAAAAAAGTCCCCTTAATACTTTTGAGTTTATTTTGTGTCATCTCATGCTGGGCATGGAGCCTGCCGTAAAGTATGGTCAGACCCCCTTGAAGAAATTAATTTTTTTTTTTATGAGTTGCTGTTCATTGTAGTTGGCTTCATGGTTTGGAATGGAAACACCTATCTCCTTGTCCCTCTCATTGCCCATGCTCTGTCTTGTTCGGATCTGTGTAGACCCTATCAATGCTACCACAGTCTGCTATGTGTATCAGACATGTTGTATCTGAAACACACTGTTTCCTTGGTGTTATTTATCTCCTCTGGCTATTATCTGCCCTCTCTTCTACAAAATGCCCTGAGCCTTGTATTATAAGGGATATGATAAAGTCATTTAAGACTGAGTTATAAGACTTTACTTTCTCTGCAGATTGCCCAATTGTGGATCTCTTTATTAGCTCCCATCTACAACAGAAGAAAGCTTCTTTAATTATGATGGAGTGAGACACTGGTCTATGAGTATAGCAGAATATCATTAGGAGTCATTTTATTGCTACATTTTATAGCATTTGCTACATTTTATAGCAAAACAATAATATTTGATTTTCCCTTAAGCCCACGGTCCCTCCAGTTTCAAATTTTTGATCACTAGACACTGTCAGGCATAGGTTCCAACTCATGGAGTGGGCCTTAAATCCAGCCCGTTGGTGGCCATTTTCACAGTGTTTACACTACCATAGCCCCATGATGCATAGCTTCTAAACAGAGTATTCCTATAGAACAGAAAATAAGGAATTAAAAACCAGAACTCTTTTTCTGGAATTCTATGCTTCCAGCAAAGATTCCTAAACTGCTTAATCAATTTTCATCTTCAGTCCTTAGATTTTCAACACTCAAGTTCTGTAAAATTTGCCAAAATACTATCATGCACACACAATTCTATAACATTTATATAAACCATACAATTTGAACCCATTTATTTTGAGCAATCACTTTGGGAACTATTTTTGATGCTGTTTAAACTTGTCTGAAAAATAGGATTTTTACTACGGCCTTTTAAAATTAATGATTAATTTAAAAAATTAATTAATCACAATCATATAATAATTATTATTCATAATTAATCATAATTCCAATTTAACTATGTATATGAGTATCTTTCTTTTTCTACTCAAAGTAGTCCTATGGATCAGGCTTCAAAATTCATCTTTAATTTACAAGTGAAAAAAAGCATAATCAAATTAATTAATTTGACTTGGGGGTCTTCCAAATAGGAAACTAAGACTTATAAGGTTGGAGATATTCCCAAGTCATACTGAAGGTTATTTATGAAGTCATGACCCCAACTATCAGGGCAAGAGAAATTCAAAGCCCATGTTTTAAAAGTTAAAACTTTTCATCTCTTTGATTAATTTTTTAATAATTGTGACAGTTCATGGCTAAATTGAGTCTCAGCTAAATAACTATATAGTGCCATGAAATGGCCCACAAAACTTAAGAATGTTATGAAAAAATTGGTTAAACAATATTGCTTGTAAAAGTGAAAAAGTGTACTTTCTAACAATATGGTATATCTATTGCTTTGTTTTCTAAGAGCTGCTTGATGCAGTATATTGTCACATAGAACTGATGCCTTGATATTCTATTTTATGACTTTACAGAAATCTTGTCTGAACTTACATGATTACCTGGAGACCACACTGAATCCCTACTTAATCAACGTCACCCTGGCAGCCAAAATGTGCAGCCAAACACTTTGCCAGGATCAAGGCATATGTTCGAGGAAAGACTGGAATTCAGATGACTATCTTCACTTGAGCCCCCAAAATTTTCAGATTCAAGTTGTGAAAAGTGGAAAGTATGTAATCCGTGGCAGTCCCACCCTTGATGACCTACAGTACTTTTCCAAAAACTTCCATTGCAGTTGTTACGCCAACTTGAACTGTAAGGAGCGAGATGATCTGGAAACAGTGAGCTCTGTCAGCGTATGTGTCATTGAAGACATTTGCATTAATTCCTTTGTCATCGGAGAGCCCAGTGCTCTGCCTGACAACTGGAAACACACCTATGTTGATAGTAGCAATCAGACAGATATCATATCGTCTGCCGCAGCAGGTCCTCATGTGCCGGGGAAAGACTTCAGTGGGTATCTTTTTGTTCTCTCTATCTCCTCACAGCATCTGAAATATTTGCTATAGGTTTTCCACCACTCGAAAGTTGGACATTGTCTTTCAGAAACAGTTCTATAGGAATAATCAAGATTCTGCTTAGAATTACAGAGACAAAATATATTCTTTTATCATTAACTGATTTCAAAGGCTGTCATAGCTACAGGGTTTACAGTCTGAGAAGAGTGAAGATTAAATAAAATCCAGTTTCTATAAATGAATGTCTTTTATTAATTTGTTTTTTAGTAATTTGCTATTGGTTAAAATTTAGTAATATTTTAATAATTTATCATTGATTAAAATCTTCTAGAAAACAAACATTTATATCTTTTAAAAAAGAAGTTCTCTAACTTGCCATAATTATAGTTTTTAGCTATTCTTTCTTGGAAAATATTTATATTTAGACTTTATGAAAAAGTAAGCCTTAAAAAATAATAATCTTATTTTTGTATGGCAATATATTTTTGAAATTCATATTTTTAAAATCTTAAAATTGACTTTTCATCTCTGATTGTCAAGTTTAAGTTGTGTACCTAAAATGATTTTTTTTTCATCTAAGCATATACAAACACATTTACCTGCTTCATAAAGCATTTATTGAGTTTTGCTTCTTTCAGGTTTTAATATTCAATGTTACTAAATCCCTGTGATGCAGCATATTTATTTCCTTCAGTGAGTTTATTGTAATGTTTGAAAATTAAATAAATGAATGTTGAGAATGACGACATTGTGTGTTTTCAATGCTATCACGTGTTTACAGTGCTCTGGCATGCAAACAAGAAATTGAGAGGTCAGAATGTCCTAAAAGAAATGAGTGAAAACTTTCAAAAGGGTGGATGAAAGTTAGTATGAGAGAGAAGCATTTCAGAAGGAGGAAAGACTGAGCATGCTTGTTAGGCCAGGTAAAGCAGAAAATGGCCAGTTGATGCAATCTTTGGGGCTCACACTGTGAAGTCACGACTTGACACCCCAACATCTTTATGCCTGCCATGTTTTATTCACTCACCCACAACATGATGGTTCTATGTTTTAATCCTGTAATATCTACACAATGAGGACAGTTAGTTGGTGACTTGTATGATACATGTAAGTGACAAGCAACCTCTGGGACTTCGGACGAGCCCACTAAACAATTGTTTAGTACAAGATATGAGGAATGTGTACAAGGTTTTGAACTTGAGGACAGTCATGGGCACCTTTCTTAACCCTAAGATCTAGGATCAATGCCCGTTTTTCCTTAAACTGCATCTTACACCTTCCAGTCCTGTTAAGATTTTTGTCAAAAGTTAGTTATTGAAAATAAATGATCTGATAAAGTTCTGAAACAGACACAACATATTGACTACCTTACTGAGATGGGTGTCATAGTAACTATTGAGTTAGTTATAGGAGTTAGAAAGGATGGAGGCAGCAAAAACTGAAAAGAGGGGTTATAACTGAGCAATTTGAAAAACAAATTCCAAATTCCACAGATAGAGGTAACCAGGTTTAGCTCAGTCTTCTATAAATCCAGTTAAGGTTTACTTTTTTTTGTTTTTGTTTTTGTTTTGTTTTTGTTTTTTTTTAAAGTAATTTTATTAAATTATAAAAGTTTCCATTTACGCCCCTCTTCCCAACACCCTCCCACTCCCCCCTCCCCCCTCCCTCTCCTCCTCCCTCTTTGTCCCTAAGGGCAGTCAGGGTTTCCTGCCCTGTGGGAAGTTCAAGTTCCTCCCCCCTCCCTCCAGGTCCAGGAAGGTGAGTATCCAAACAGACTGGATCCCAAAAATCCAGTATATGCAGAGGAAACTAGTCCCAGTGTCATTGTCAATGGCTTCTCAGAAAGACTCCAGGCCAGCCACATTCAGAGAATCCGACCACATTCAGAGAATCTGGTTGGATCACGTGCTCGTTCAGTCGCAGTCCAACTGGCCTTGGTAAACTCTCATTAAATCCGACCCCTTGTATTGGTGGGTGATAGCATCCCTCGCAGTCCTTCGTCATTTTCTTCGTCCTTCTGCTCCTCATTTGGATCTTGGGGGGCTCAGTCCGGTGCTCCAATGTGGGTCTCCGTCTGTATCGCCATCCAACGCCAGATGAAGGATCTATGGTGATAAGCAAAATATTCATCAGTATGGTTATGGGCCAAGGTCGGTTCAGGCACCCTCTCCTCTGTCCAGAGAACAGTCTGGGGATCTCTCCTTGGACCTGGGATCCCATATATAATCAAGTTTCCTGTAAACCCTAAAATGACTCCCTTAGTTGAAATATATTCTTCCCTGATCCCATATTCATCCTTCCTCCCTTCCCCCCATCCCGGTCAACCGAGCTTTCTCCATTCCTCCCCTACTCCCTTCTCTCTAACCCTCTCCCCTTCCAACAACCCTCCCACACACCCCCCATGCACCCAAGGTTACCTGGGACTCTTGACTATTTCCTACCTCCTGGCGGATAGCTAAATAATCTTCATCAGGTTCGTCTTCTTATTTAGCTTCTCTAGGATCACGAATAATAGGCTCAAAGACCTTTAATTATGGTTAGAATCCACTTATGAGTGAATACATACCGTGTTCCTCTTTTTGGGTCTGGCTTACCTCACTCAGTAAAGCGTTTTCTATGTCCATCCATTTGCATGCAAAATTCAAGATGTCATTATTTTTTACCGCTGAGTAAAACTCTAATGTGTATATGTTCCACACCTTTTTTAACCATTCTTCTACTGAGGGGCACCTAGGCTGTTTCCAGGTTCTGGCTATTACAAATAGTGCTGCTATGAACATAGTTGAACAAACGCTTTTGTAGTATGTTCGGGAATCTCTAGGGTATATTCCCAGGAGAGGAATTGCTGGGTCCTGAGGGAGGTTGACTCCCAGTTTCCTGAGAAACCGCCACACTGATTTCCACAGTGGCTGCACAACTTTGCATTCCCACCAACAATGGATGAGTGTTCCCCTCATTCCACATCCTCTCCAGCATAGGCTATCATTGGTGTTTTTGACTTTCGCTATTCTGACAGGTGTAAGATGGTATCTCAAAGTGGTTTTGATTTGCATTTCCCTGATCGCTAAGGAGGTTGAGCATGACCTTAAGTGTCTTCTGGCCATTCGAAGTTCATCTGTTGTGAATTCTCTGTTCCGATCAGTACCCCATTTTTTAATTGGGTTAATTAGAGTTTTAGTGTCTAGTTTCTTGAGTTCTTTGTATATTCTGGAGATCAGACCTTTGTCTGATGAGGGGTTGGTGAAGATCTTCTCCCAGTCAGAAGGCAGCCTTTTTGTCTTACTGACAGTGTCCTTTGCTTTACAGAAGCTTCTCAGTTTCAGCAGGTCCCATTTATTCATTGTTTCTCTTATTGTCTGTGCTACTGGGGTCCTACTTAGGAAGTGGTCTCCTGTGCCTATATCTTGTAGACTACTTCCCACTTTCTCTTCTATCAGGTTCAAAGTAGACAGATTGATGTTGATGTCTTTAATCCATTTGGACTTGAGTTTTGTGCATGGTGATAGATATGGATCTACTTTCATTCTTCTACAGGTTGACATCCAGTTATGCCAGCACCATTTGTTAAAGACGCTTTCCTTCTTCCATTGTATACCTTTAGCTCCCTTGTCAAAAATTAGGTGTTCATAGGTTTGAGGGTTAGTATCTGGGTCTTCTATTTGATTCCATAGGTCGACTTCTCTGTTCTTATGCCAATACCAGGCTGTTTTCAATACTGTAGCTCTGTAATAGAGTTTGAAGTCAGGGATAGTAATGCCTCCAGAAGTTCCTTTATTGTATAAGATTGTTTTGGCTATCCTGGGCTTTTTGTTTTTCCATATAAACTTGATTATTGTTCTCTCAAGGTCTGTGAAGAAGTTTGATGGGATTTTGATGGGGATTGCATTGAATCTATAGATTGCTTTTGGTAGAATTGCCATTTTTACTATGCTGATTCTCCCAATCCAAGAGCAGGGGAGGTCTTTCCATTTTCTGGTATCCTCCTCAATTTCTCTTTTCAAAGGCTTAAAGTTCTTGTCAAATAGGTCTTTCACATCCTTGGTTAGAGTAACCCCAAGATATTTTATGCTATTTGTGGCTATCGTGAAAGGTGATGTTTCTCTGATTTCCCTCTCTGTTTCTTTATCTTTTGTGTATAGGAGTGCCACTGATTTTTTGGAGTTGATCTTGTATCCTGCCACGTTACTAAAGGTGTTTATCAGCTGTAGGAGTTCTTTGGTAGAGTTTTTGGGGTCGCTTATGTACACTATCATATCGTCAGCAAATAACGAAAGTTTAACTTCATCCTTTCCAATTCGAATCTCCTTGATCCCCTTATTTTGTCTTATTGCTATTGCTAGAACTTCAAGCACTATATTGAAGAGGTATGGAGAGAGTGGACAGCCTTGTCGTGTTCCTGATTTTAGTGGAAAGGCTTTGAGTTTCTCTCCATTCAATTTGATGGTAGCTGTCGGCTTGCTGTATATTGCTTTTATTATATTTAGGTATGATCCTTGTATCCCCAGTCTCTCCAACACCTTTATCATAAATGGGTGTTGAATTTTGTCAAACGCTTTTTCAGCATCCAATGAAATGATCATATGGTTTTTTTCTTTCAGTTTATTTATATGATGGATTACATTGATAGATTTGTGTATGTTGAACCAACCCTGCATCTCTGGGATGAAGCCCACTTGATCATAATGGATGATTTTTCTAATGTTTCTTGGATTCAGTTTGCCATTATTTTATTGAGAATTTTCGCATCAATGTTCATGAGTGAGATTGGCCTGTAATTCTCTTTCTTGGTTGTGTCTTTGTGTGGTTTTGGTATTAGGGTGACTGTAGCTTCATAAAAGGAGTTTGGCAGTGACTTTTCTTTTTCTATACTGTGGAATACATTAAGGAGTATAGGTATTAGCTCTTCCTGGAAGTTCTGGTAGAATTCTGCATTGAAACCATCTGGTCCTGGGCTTTTTTTGGTAGGGAGATTTTTGATAACAGCTTCTAGTTCTTCACGACTAACAGGTCTATTTAGATTGTTCACCTGATCTTGGTTCAACTTTGGTATATGGTACTTATCTAAAAAAATGTTCATTTCTTTTACATTTTCCAACTTTGTGGCATATAAACTTTCGTAGTAAGATCTAATGATTCTCTGAATTTCCTCTGTGTCTGTGGTTATGTCCCCCTTTTCATTTCAGATCCTATTAATTTGCAAGTTCTCTCTCTGCCGTTTGATTAGTTTGGATAGGGGTTTGTCAATCTTGTTAATTTTCTCCAAGAACCAGCTTTTTGCTTCATTGATTCTTTGAATTGTTTTCTGTGTTTCTATTTTGTTGATTTCAGCCCTCAGTTTGATTATTTCCAGTCTTCTACTCCTCCTGGGTAAATCAGCTTCTTTTTTTTCTAGAGCTTTCAAGTGTGTTGTTAAGTCTCCAATGTGTGCTTTCTCCATTTTCTTTAGGTGGGCACTTAGTG